TCCCGAACACTCTCCTCCATGCAGACGAGCTCAAACGGAGCACGCTCGGCCTTTCTGTTCACATTTGGGACCGACCATAGCCCACCCTGCACAGCGCACCTGCAGGTGTCCCTGCTGTTTCCACGCGCCACGCCGGCGAGGGCCTGGGGAGCTCCTGGGGGCCACGCAGCTCTGGGTGTGGGCACCGAGGGGAAGTGTGGAGGAGGCACATCCACATGCTTCTCTAAGTGGCAGCCAGACAAGCTCTGAGTGCTGGCACCCCAGGCGGCAGGAGCCCAAGGACAAAGTGGACCCGTGGCGAGACCTTCGCCGTTCCTCTGCACGTGGGCAGAGCCGGCCTCGGGCAAGGTGGGTTCCTTCCCAGTCCCTGACCACATCTGACTGACCACAGGAAGGGCCATTCTGAACCTCCTCACCTAGAACACTCGGCTGACCGGTCCCGTTCATTTCACTTAGTCTAGAACCACCCTGGAAAGCGTAGCTCTGCCTCCTACGCTGAGAGCCAAGACCAGAGCGGTGGCAGGTTAGCCAGCACCTGCCCTGATGCTGCTGAGCCCGCCAGACTGTTTCAGCTGGGACCCTCGATCTCGGGTTTCCCAGTGTGGCTGGCACGTCAACAGCCATCCCACATGCTCACATGGTGTATGTGTGCGCACCCCTACCGCACGGCTTTATTCTGCCCCGCGGTTCACGGCGATGTTGCAGGATTATCCCTGTCAGTTCCACTCCCCCACGGGGTGGGGGGGGGTTAACGGAGGGCCGGTCCCCTGGGACGCGAAGACAATTGCCTGGCCGGCATGATGTCTCGAAGCACCGGGACTGTCCTGCCGGGTGGAGCCCTCGCTCCACGAGGTCACGCAGGGGCCATTCAGGTGACAGGGGCCACTGGGCTCACTGAGGGTAGGTGCGGTGTTAGCCTGGGTGCGACCCTGCCCAATTGCCTTGGCCCTTGCTGGAGCACAGATTCAGTCTTCGTCTAGGCTGCCTTGTTCCGCCTAGGACCCCCAGCAGGTACGGGTACCTGCCAGAGACTGAGTGGGAGGAGGCGCCCCCAGTGCCGTGCCGTCACTTCACGATCCGAGCCTCCACTCCATCATGACAGAATTCTGGACATGCAGACACGTGTACCTGGGGTGTTTCGAGCTGCCGAGGCTAATAGTGAACCACGTGGGAACTCATAATTCCACCCATGCCATGAAGACTATAGTGCCTTCAGATTTTCTCTACCAGGACAGAATGTACTTTTAGAAAGATT